GACGCTCTCGAGCTTGATGGCGATCTCCTCACCAGAGATGATGTTGGTACCTGTAGACGTCAGCGGTGCTGGGGCGGTGGGTGACGGGCGGCGGCTACGTACCGAGGTAGATGTCACCGAAACTGCCGCTACCAATCTTGCGGCCGATTCTGTACTTGTTGCCGACGCGGAGGTCCTGCTACTGTCAGCCTGGGGTCCTGCGGAGCGGTGCTTGGCCGCCGTGGTGACGGCAAGCGGGGTCAGGGCGTACCATTGTCGTCATGCTTGCAGAGGTGCAACCTTGAGGAGGTTGGCCTGAGGTGGAGGGAGGTGTTGAGGGGGGTGGGTCGAGTGTTGTGACGATGGGGGCGCGGTGGTGTTTTGAGGATCAGCCTGCTGCGGTGGACCGGTCAGTATGAGGCTTTAGCCAACAAGGCGGTGAGTAAGCGGAGCGGGCAGCCGAGAAACGCTAGGGGAGGCAGTCGAGCGTGTTGACCGACAGGTAAAGGAAAGGCCTGCGGAGCAGGTGCGTCGTGGTGAGAGATAAATAGGGCACGGGGGGCAGAGGGCGGAGCCGACTGACGAGCTGGGCAGGACTTACTGTAGGGCGTGAATGAGCCCAACGATCAACGATGCCGGCGAGCGTAGGTGCGGGCTGGCGGGCGGGCGAGGTTTGCGACTCTAGCAAAAACGACACAGAGAGGCAGCTGCAGGGCACGAGACAGCACAATAGGCCGGTGGAACAAGCTCACTGTGATCGTGGTGCTGTATCAAAGGAACGCTGATGGCAGGTCCTGGATGCCACCTGCCTTGTATTCGGCCACTGTGCTTGGCGCGCTAGCGAGCTCTTTCACCGTGGACTGCTGCCCGCTGCCCGCCGCCGTGTATCAAGCCTGCGGACCGCAAATCACATCCCTGAGCCGCTCGGAGGCATCGCGACCCATCGCACCGCCGTTTGCGTTGTGCGTGTCCGCAAATGTCCAGGGTATCACTGTCGAGATGCCACTGCTCGTTTCAAATGCCGTCGCCTGACTGCCGCATCATGCGACTGAGCCACAGATCTGCCCCTTTATGCATCTCGCGCAGTTCGCGAACCGATTGCGCTATATTTGACTTTGACCAAGAACGTCCTGCAGACGCCGTCCCGCTGCTAGAATGAAATTTCGTCGTAGCCGATGTTCTGGAAAGACTGCGGCCCGAAACTGTCTCGTGACGAAGGTCGGGTACGGCAAACACATCATAATTCAGACTAGGCAAACACCACTCGCGTATACCAGTTTCATCGTCAAAGCCAGAAACTACCCCATGAAGAGTGTCCCGCATATCCGTACAAGCCCTTTCAACAACACAATAGCGCTCGGCGAGATGCTTTTTCATTCGGAACAAAGGAAAGCATCAGTCCCAACACCATCGGGACTACATCTATACCTCACCTCATACAAGGGAAAAACTAAACAGGCCTAGAGCCTACATTAACATTAGGTCACCTGCTTTGCGTGTTTATATATTAATGTAGGCTGTAATAACAAATGTGTAGGGTGTAGACCTGTTCAGTTTTTCCCTAGTTAACGTGACCTGCTAATCGAACGTGCTATCCTGTATGAAGCACCGCGTAGCGTGCGCCCATGGTCTGATATTTAGCATGACATCCCGCCTCGCGTACCGAGGACGTATATCAGTCTATTCTGTAGAGCTGCTCAGCTGTGTCAGAGACATACGATACCGGAAACATCCGAACATCATCTTGACAGCGTACAGTATCAAGGTGTAGTCCCAACCAGCGTCGCAGGGGAATTGGGATAGCCGTTAGATCAAACGTAGTCTAGCAGCGGTCGATTTGCATGGGGAAACTGCCTGGTAGATGAGATTAAACCCCACCACCTCTCTGATCGTCTTGGGTTATGCCGAAGGACGCTCCCTAGCAACGTGGTAGCGATCTCTGCGTGGATGATTGCCTGCAATTCAGTTGACACACACTCGCACAACCAGAGCCATAGAACAAGAGAGATGATATGTTCGTGATGGGTTGATTTTGCCAAGTCTATACAGCCATCTCAGTCGGAGACCTTGAATGATCCTCCTCCTCCGCGGCTATTATACACTGCCTCTGATTGCACTCGTATGCTCAAAGACCGCTCCCCGTATCGCGAAGTATCTGGCTTAGTGGTTCGGCGCCTGGTTCTTGAGGGCTGGGTTGCGCGGGTCGTTCTTGTACTCGTCGGCTGTGCTGGTCAGCCTGCGAACATGGATCGAGCTGGATGGCTTGGTCTCTGGGATGGGAGTTACGTACACTGGGCCATGGCGTTGGCGGCAGAGTTGACACCGTAGAGGATGACGAGGCCTGTTGACTCTTGTTAATCCTGTCTCACACAGCGAACCCTCGGCTGCCGAGCAATTCCATCTCCTCCCGATCCATCAATTGGGCCTCTCAGAGTATTCCTGCCTTAATCAAAGTCGCGCGACGTACCGGAGACGTAGAAGGGCCACATGGGCTTGGCTATGGTACCTCGTTAGCAATCTTTTCAAGCTCGACTTTCCACTATCGTCGTGTGCAGGGTGCCATACCGATTTGCGCCGGGAACTTCCTTCCGAGAAGAGGCATTGTGACGTGTGTTGGAGGGGCAATGGACTGATTTGACGGTTGCGGCGAGGGATGCGGTGATGGGTTGAGCTCCGCTCGAAGAACAGCCCTGGAGATGCTTGGCGTCTGCGCACGGATCCCTCATGCCGTTGTACTAAGAGGAAGCAACATTCCACTTCGCTCGCGTCCTGACCACACTTGCGATTGCCGAACCGTTCACAATCATGGCGCTGGAAGGATGCGTAGGCTCGCTGCGCAGTAGTATGCAATTACTCGATTCATCTATCAACATACTGGACCAAGGCGTGAGCGACTTCCCCCGACTGGCCAAAGTACTGCAGACGACACGGGTGTGTACACGTTGAGAACATGATTACCTTCATCGTGTTGACCCTGGAACAGCACTTCGAGCTCATCTCCGAATCTGACCTCCAAACCGCGCAATCAGCACTCCTCTCAGAAATCCGCCCCGAGGTCGACAACCTTCTTAAGCGCGTAGAAAACTACCTCGACAAGCTGGAGCGTCGCGAGCAATCCTTGATAGCGAAATGCGATCTGAACGACGGCAGACTCGGACGCGACAATAACGGCAGCTCAGGCCCCAGACCGGCAAGCAGGACCGCCCAGCGAAGCGGAGGCAAGACCATCAGCGCGCAACAAGAAATGAGGATGAAGACCTTGAAGGCGAAGAAGGATAGGCTAAGCTATGCCGTAGAGACGCTAGAGTTGCAGGCGAAGCAGAGGGAGCGGCAGTTGCGGATGAGCATGGCCGCACCGCAGCAGTTATACGATGATTGACGTTTTGCTACATTTGGGCAGAGAAAGCATAAGTTGGCCTGTCAGCAATGATATGGGCCGCATGAGTTCACAATCTTGGAACAGGCGTTTTGGCATAAGATACCCCGGAGTAGTTCAATACAGACACCATATTATCCCCACGTAATTTTGAGGAATGCAACAAAATGTGAATCTTCAGTCAGCCTTTGACGCTTGGTGCATGAAGGTTCCCAGCAGCAGTTAGGATCAGAACTTGAGGTTGACGCTAATGAAATGCAGCTTGTTTCCAGATAGTTTGTAGAAGACAGCTCATTGAATGCCTTGAACGCGTAGTGAAGCGAGGAAAGTAAGCGTTTTTGGGTAGTGTTGTGATACCCAGTTCAGATGGTCAAGATGTGGTGATGCGCTAGCGTCGGCTAACCCCGTGACCTGAGGGAGCGCAGAACTCGCAGAACACCGACATTGAACATTCTCCGACCACATCTTCCCCACCACCCCGTCCATCATGAGCTCTCTCCGCATCGCCCGAGCTGCCCTCCGCGCGAGGCCCGCTGCCATTGCCCGCCCCATCCAGCGCAGAGGGTACGCCGAAGTCGCCAATGACAAGATCAAGCTCTCCCTAGCTCTCCCGCATCAGGTACGCCATACCAGCTGTCGCAACATGCGGGGGCATACCCCAGGTTGCAATTGGCATCTGAATTGAGAGGCTAACTGGTGGTCAACAGTCTATCTACAAGTCCCAGGATGTGTACGTCGTTCGAAACCCCGGCCGATCCCGCAAAGCGAAATCGCGAATACTGACATGAGATGTTTTACAGCGTCCAGGTCAACCTCCCCGCGGAGACCGGTGACATGGGTGTTCTGGCCAACCACGTTGCCTCCATCGAGCAGCTGAAGCCCGGCCTAGTCGAGATCATCGAGGAGCAGGGTGGCAGCAAGCAATTCTTCCTGTCTGGTGGATTTGCTGTTGTGCAGCCCAACTCCGTCCTCAGCATCAACGCCGTCGAGGGCTACCCATTGGAGGACTTCAGCGCCGAGGTACGAGCGGATGCACGGAGATGGGGAATAAAGACTGACAAGGAGATAGGCTGTCAGGAACCAGATCGGCGAGGCACAGAAGATTGCCAGCGGAAACGGCAGTGAGGCTGACATTGCTGAGGCCAAGATCGAGCTCGAGGTACGCACCGCAGACACATCTTAGCAAGAAGCGCTGACAAGACCCAGGTCCTCGAGAGCCTGCAGGCTGCATTGAAGTAAATGTGTAAATAGCGTTCCTTGAGTACGGCATGCGCGGTATGTATAGTAGCAAGCACACAGCATGCGTGCTTTCCGTGGTCAAAGAATAGAAGGAGCTCCCTGAGGTGACCAAAACATTCCAAACATCTTGCAGTTTCGCTCCTCTTGACCACATTCCTCTGCAATCCGGACCGACCGTACCTTAGCCCACCAGCAACCCTACGAGCTACACTACTCTTATTGTTACCCTTCTATCAGTTTGTCTTACTTCTTTAGCACCCAGTCTTACTCTGTCTTACTTCGTTACAGCTTGTCTTACTTCACCACAGCGATCGCAGTTTTCCTTACACACAATCAACAGTTACCACGCGTCTACAACATCACCCTTCTCACGTCTGCAACGCATTATCCAAAAGTTTAGCGTCTCATGCCCCGAGGCTTCGACCAACCCACGTCAAGTTCTGCGTCCCGAGCTACCAATGCGGGACTACGCGAGCAGAGCAATCAACCATCAAACATAAGAACTAGACAGGGTCGGTTCGAAGCTCCTGCTACGATACCGGGAGCCGGAGAGGCGAAGCAACCATACCCGACCACATCCAGACGCAAGTCTAGTAGTCCCTCAGCTTTGCCCCTCCCACAAGTATCGAGCGAACCTCAACCGCCTCCTTCCGGACGCAAATCGCCTGCCTATTTGCAAGGCAGGAACCCATATGGCCGAGTCTTGGACAAGGTTCAGCATCCGTACCGGGAGCCCGAGGCAGTGACAACAGCACCTGTACCGCCTTCCCAAACTGGCTCCAATATCGGTTCACGGCCACCTGCGGTGGGCGTCACAGACTCCAAACAACAATCTCTGGCCCAAGAGCCGGGTCGACGCGGCACCCAGACAACATACCCGCCATCAAGACAGCCACAGGTCCCCAAGTCAGTTCGCTCTGCCAAAGACTTCTTCGAGACGGAAGCCTTTCAACGTCCGTCAGCGTCCCGTCCCCCACCTTCAGTTCCTGGTACCAGTGCCGCGAAGGCGCTCGCACCGCAGACCTACCCCTCTAGTTCCTCTCTCGAATCTCCTGCCCATGCTCCCAACCCGAAGTTGTCTTCTACTGCTGACGAGCAAGCCCTCGATACTGGGCTGCTGTTGTCTTCCCTCACGGAATTTTACGATACTCGCGAATCTGTGCAGTCTGTGATCTCCTACAAACAAGGCGAAGCCGACGAGTGTGCTCCCATCATCACGACACAGAAAGCAACGCCCCCGGCTGTACCATCTGATCAGGGAGAGGAGCAGTACTTTTCCGACATAGAGCGAGAATCCATTGGTCGGCGAAAGTCTACCAACATCTTTGCAGGTAAATCCGACGGTGCAAGGCTTCCAAGTCTCGGTCAACAGGCTGGACAGGACAGCTTTGCGAGCGATGACATCTCCAAGGCGCCGCTTCCTGACACTGGCGGGGCCAACCCAATCGATCACAAAGATCCTTCTGACGAGATTGTGAGGCGTCTCGCTACCCGCAGTTCAATACCAGCTGCTGAGACCAGGCAAGCCAGCAATCCGAACCCTCCGTCGCAACAGGAAGGTAGACGTGCGAAGTCTGGTCGCGATCTTCGAAGGACTTTCGAGGAAGACAACGGGATTTCTCCCAAACGGCTCAGGCGCAGTGGATCACACACTGCTTCTTTGACAGAGAGTGGTACTTCAGCAAAGGAACCCGTCGATCGTGTCGCGGAGTGGACCCAGAGTACGGATGTTGGAAATCCTCGCAACCAGTCTGGGAAGTCCATTGGTGTGCGTAGACGAGCTGAGGAGATCGTGGCAAGGAATCTCGGCCACGACGGTGCAAGCGACATGAGTGTCTCCCGACAAAGCTGTATCTCAGGCTCGATACCAACTGCCAACATCGGTGTCGAGGAGCAGTATGGCGAGACCAAAGTGCCGGACGATGTCGACAACCGCCAAGGGTACGGACGTCGCGTCACACAAGATTTTGGCTTCCCAGGCGCACGGATCAAGTCGTATGGCATCAACAAGACAAGTCGACCGTTACGAGACCCTGGCAACTGGACTAAGCGAGCGTGCGGACACTTCTCATACATGGGCAAAACCGAGCACCGCGAGCATGCACAAGAGAAAATATGTCGGCAATGTTCGACCCGAGTACCAGTGCTTGAAGAGCTACTGTCTACGAAGCGGCGGACACGCAGACGAGCTTCATCAGAATCATTGACCTCTACAACCCCTTCATCGAAAATTTCCACAGATGACTGTTGCCGCCGGCAGAGGCGTCGTCGGTGTCACTCTGAAAGCATGTCGCTTGACAGATGCGGAGATAGATTTGCTGATGAGTTGGGTCACATCATCGACAATATTCTAGAAGAGCATGCAAACACACTCCAGAATGTCATCAGCAACATCAAGAACACTCAACCCAGTCTCGACCAGCTTCGAAGGGTGTCTGGAGACCTTGTTCAGCGATGCAACACCAACGCATGTGATTGGAATCGTTGCCAGACATCCTGTCATCCAGCACGAGCATCCTGTCGACGGGACGATGATTGGCATCCACCTTGCCCATATCTCCCACCCAAAGCGGCAGAGAAACTCAATGTTGGGGCTACAGGCCAAGTCAAGCCGAACCTTAACGATCCTGAATCGAGCCTGCGTGAAGAGGTGCAGTCAATACCCGACCTGGTCGATCTTGTCAAATCTGCAGCCGACGATCTCGGCTTCGATCTTGACCGAAGGCCCACCGCGACCGACGATGACGAGTTCCACAACGCCCCTTACGAGGCCACACCCATGGATTCTGTCTCACGTCACACAGATGTCTCCTTCGGGACGATAGAAAACAGGGCGACGGAGGACGAGCCGCTTACTGAGGACAGCTGGCTACAGCAAACACGTAGACACTTGACCGAACTCTCAGAGGCCCGAGAGCAGCTTATGGACGAATTGGATTCCATCGCTGGAGATCTCGACGTGAAATTTCGAGACCAACCCGAGGTTGAGTCGGTGACTGATTCGGATGCACCACATGCACACCGTGTACTCAGCAAAGCTCCCACGGGTCTCTCGCGTACATCCACATTACAGAGAGACGCTCTTATCGACTCAGTACAGCGTATGCTCAGCAAAGCGCCTACTGGCATCTCGCGCAGCTCTACATGGCATGAGCAGACTCAGGGAGAAGAGGCTGCGGACGACCTCGATTTCAGTAAAGCGCCTACTGGCATCTCACGCAGCTCTACGTGGCATGAGCAGAGCCAGGGAGAGGTTGCTGACGACCTCGATTTCAACCCGGCACAGCGCAGATCAAGCAAAAATCCTACCGGTCTCTCACGCACGTCTACTTCGCAGAAAGATGCTATGATTGACTCGGTACAACGTGTGCAACGTGTGCTCAGTAAGATCCCCACCGGTCTCTCACGCAGCGCTACACGGCATGGAGAAGATGACGGAAACGAGGAAGAGAAAGAAGCAGTCGATAATCGCAGTCTCGGACTTGTGCAGCGTGTACTGAGCCCAACCCCTGCAGACTTCTCGCGCACGTCTACTTCGCAAGCAGATGCCATTGTTGACTCGGTGCAGCGCGTGCAACGCGTGCTCAGCAAGATTCCTACCGGCCTCTCACGCAGCTCTACATGGCATGCAGAAAACGAGGAGGCCGTCGAAGACCCCGACATCGAGCCAGTGCAGCGTGTATTGAGCATATCTCCTCCCGGTATCTTGCAGGCCTCTACGTGGATCAGGGACGCTTCTGTCGACGCAACGCGACGTGTACTCAGCAAGCCTCTTACTGGTCTCCTGCGCAATACTACTTGGCATGGTATAGGGGACGATCCAGCAGACAGTTCCTTCGTCGAGCCCGTACAACGTGTACTCAGCAAGGCTCTTACTGGTCTCTCGCGCAACTCTACATGGCAAAAGGATGATGATGCACCGGTAGACGAAGCCGTTGTTGAAAGTGTAGAGCGTGGACTCAGCAAGGCTCCTACCAGCGTCTCGCGCGAATCCGAATAGCAGGAGGATACGTCTACTGACATCGATACTACTCAGACTGGTCAGCACGACGACGAAGACGAGCCGTTCGGCGAGCTTACGCAGCCTGCGCTCGAAAAGACCAACAGTGGCCTCTCGCGAGCATCTACGTGGCACGGTAGCAGACCTGTCGACTATGAAGAGCCCGGAGCTGACGTTACGGGTCTGCATGATGATGATCTGGTGGCCAAGATAGTGCAAAGTGTTCTCAGCAAGGTGCCCTCTGGCTTCTCACGCGCATCCACATGGCAGAGCAACAAGACTGTCGACATCGAAGACCTCGGGGCTGACGTTTCGGATCACCAGGAGGACGATCTGGTCACCGCAATGGTGCAGCGTGTTCTCAGTAAAGCGTCCACTGGCATCTCGAGCAGGCCAACCTGGCCCAGTTCCAACGCCGCCAACACCGTCGAAGACGAAGTTCAAAGCGTTGTCGATAAGAGTGTCGACGAGCTTCGGCTCAGTCGCGCACTCACTCGGATCCTCAGTCAACCGAAAGAGCCTCCATCTGCTGGTCAAGAGCCATACAAGGCTGAAGACGTTTCGCCTGAAGAGATCTAGGAGGTGCTTCGAGTGGCGAGAGACGAGCTTCCGGCTGCTGTTGCTTCGATCACCGCCGTCTTGCAGACATTGCCAGCTGCTGAACATGCGCCCACTGATGAGAGCAGTGACGTTATGGAGCCTGATCAACATGTTGAGCTGTCGTATGAAGCGCTAGATAACCCGCAGTATGATACAATGGACGATCCTCAAATTGAGGCGCAACTTCGGGGACAAGTGGGCCAAGGGTACGGTGAAGCCACGTCTGATACTTACAGCGACCACTACACTGCATCACCGGTCATTGAAGAAGAACCTGAGTTCCAGCCTCCTGTGCAGCGAATTCGCCGAACAAGTACAGCGCCACCTCTTGCGCAACGACAAGAATCGTTCATACCTGGCTCAATAGCTGTCTCGATACCTTCCAGTTATTCTTCCGTAGTGGAAGATTTACCGGAATCGCCCGTTTTATCACGCACAGCTTCGTTCTCCCCTACGCTTGGTACTCGCCGGACAGCTACCATGTCACCATCTCAGTTACGACAAGGTCCTTCAAGCCCACTATCTGTCGCTGATAACGCATCTGAACAACCCATTCTCTTGAGTCTAGCTTCACGCCAGCCAACGCTTGCAAGTCGCCGTACCAGTACAGCAACAGCCAAGAACCAGCGACAAGACTCTGTTAGGCCTACTTCGCCACCTAGTGCGGATGATCTAGAAGCACAACCTGTGATTTCGCGTGCGACTTTCCGCCAGCCTGCACTGGAGACCCGCCGCATAAGCAGTGCAAAAGCCAACAACAAGCGACAAGACTCTATCAGACCCGCTTCTCTATCTTCTCCGTATGACTTGGAAGCACAGCCAATCATCTCACGTGCGCCTACACAACAGGACGCGTTAGGGATGCGTCGAACAAGTACCGCAACAGGTAGCGTCCAGCGCAAGGACTCTATCAGACCCACTTCTCCATCTGTTTCGTATGACTTGGAAGCACAACCTCTCATCTCGCGAGCGTCCACGCAACAGGGCACGCCAGGGATTCGTCGAACAAGTACTGCAACAGGTAGCGTCCAGCGGCAAAACTCAGCCAGGCCCACATCACCACCTGCTATGAATGATTTGGAAGAAGAGCCCGTCTTCTCGCGTGCAGCTTCTCGGCAGGATACGCTAATGGTTCGTCGAACAAGTACGATGTCGCCGAATATTGGACGGCAAGAATCGATGTTAACCACCTCGTTGCCTGTGGCAGAGACCTCGCTTGAGCAGCCGGCCCTCTCGCGTGTGGCCTCTCGGCAGGGTACGCTAATGGCTCGTCGAACAAGTACGATGTCACCGACTGTTCAACGGCAAGAGTCGATTTCAGCGACCACGTTGCCTGTGGCAGAGCCCTCGCTTGAGCAACCGGCTCTCTTGCGTGTGACTTCTCGTCAGCCTACGCTACCCGTCCATAGAAGAGATACGACATCACCGACTATTCAGCGGCAAGAGTCGATGTTAGCCACCACGTTGCCTGTGGCAGAGCCCTCGCTTGAGCAACCGGCTCTCTTGCATATGGCTTCTCGTCAACCCACGCTACCCGTCCATAGAACAAATACGACATCACCGACTGCCCGGCGACTGGACTCCATTGTACCAACGTCATCACCTGTTGCAGACGAATCGATTAGGCAGCCAGTTCTTCTACGTGCAACATCACGTCAGCCTACGCAAAGAGTTGAACGTACAAGCACAGTGACACCGGCTATTCAGCGGCAGCCTTCGACTATACGCACCCCCTCACCTGCGGCAGAGATCTCATCTAGGATGCCCCTTATCATTCGTGTGGCATCGCGACAGCCTACACAGGGGTCCCGTCGAACAAGCACGATACCATCAGTTGTACTGCGGAACGACTCTCCAAGGCCCGAAATCTCTCCCGTCCTGTCTCTCGCTGCGGATGACGTAAATGATCAGACGTTTCCGCCTCTTGATTCACGCCAGTCTACGGTGGAGGTCCGTCGAAGAAGCTCAGTACCGACAACTGCTCAGCCGAATGACTCTCCAAGCCTCGAAACCTCTCCAGTCCTGTCTCTTGCCATGGACGAGTTGCCTGATCAGCTATATGCATACTCTGATACACGTCAGACTGCGCTCGAAGTTCATCGGACAGGCACTGCTCCGACAGATGAGCTTGTCACATCTCCCGATCTGTCGCCTGCTGAATAGGATACGCTTGCACAGCCCATGTCATCTCGCCGGGTTTCACGTCAGCCAACGCGTAAGGTAACTATCCGTGAGGCCGAGATTTATCGTGCGCCTTCGCCTGAGCCTCCATCGGACACAGAGGACGTCCTTGAGCCGGCGATCTTGTCGCGTTCTATCTCATCCCAGCCTACGCGCATGGCGAGCATTCTTGCTATATCTAAAAGTCCTGTGGATCCGTCGAGAGAAGCAGATGATGCCGCATCCGAGCCTTCGGTAGACGCAGAAGTTACACAGCGCTCTTTCGAGCGGCAAAGAACCATTCGGAGGGAAACGATGCCCAATGAGCGGCTCACCATAGCCGACAGAACCTTGTCTTCCAGTCTTCCGCTTCGTACTCGTACTGGATCTCTGATTTTCCGAAGTGCCGAGCAAGATGTTGAAGCGCCGCTTGATGAACGAACAGAACTTGAGAGGCAGGAGGTTCCCGCATCAATCCACGTCCCTGGCCGCGATGAGGACACTGATCAGGTTGGGAGATCGCCCACGACCGCTTTCGAGGCTGACTCGGAACCTTTCGCGCTCCATATGTATCAGCGAATGGCCGAGGAGCCATCTGAAGAAGAACTTGAGCCCGAGAGCCAAAGCGCTACTTCAGTTGGTGTCAACAATCTCGAAGAACCGGCTGGTCAGTTCGAAAGAGCATCCACTGCGAATGTTACATTCGATCCCGAATTACTCGCACTTGACGTCTATCAACGGATTGCCGAAGAACCGCTTGAAGAGGACTCTGAGGCTGAAAGTCAAAGCGCTATCGCGTCGACCAATGTCAACGTCAATGAGGCAACGAGTAGTCGAATCCAGAGAGCACCGACTGCTAATGTATTATCGAATCCGAACTCTTTTGCGCTCCGCGTATATCAACGCATCGCTGACGAGCCACTTGGGGAAGAACCTGAGCCCAACGCTATTGCGCCGACGAACTCCAACAGCACTGAGGATATGACTAGTCAAATTGAGAGAGCACCGACTACTCAAGTCTCTCGGACAGTAGAGCCCTTGGAACATGTCAAAGCTCGAAGCCCGACTGGCACGATGCCCCCCGTTGAGAGACGTGCCACACAGACTTCACCCGGGTATCCAGCGAACATACCACGGGCTGTAACAATAGCTCGCGACGTAGAGCGCAAACAAAGCAGTGCCGCTCCTGACCAACTCGATAGAGCACTTACCATGCGATCCTCTCCAGCACTGGAGCCTTCGGTATATATCGACCCTGAAGGCCTGCCATCAAAGACTGTCCCTCTCGAAAGAGTGAGGACACAGGCTTCACCTGAACCCTCAGTCGATGTACCACGGGCGTCAACAATACCTCTCGAATCGAATCGAAGACGAAGTAGCGCTGCTCAAGGGTTCACGCCATCCGCCCGAGGACCAGAGCCTTCAGTACACTCCAGCGCCGAAGCTGTGCTGGATGAGACCCCGCAGGTACAGGGAAGATTGAGAGTAGCGCCCACAGAGCCTCGCACAACCGATCGTCGACGCAGCAGTGCGGCCCCTGGTATCACAGCGTCTCCTCCACAGACCATCCTTGAGGGCATAGAAGTCGGAGCGCAAACTAAAAGCCAGACGAAGAAGCCGAGGCAAGGCGCGAACTACCCACCTGAGCAGCAATATCCGCCAGCGCCTGCATATCCCCTACGGGAGACTCCCTCATGGACAAAGCCGGACACTCGGACTCCATCACCAAAGGTGAAAGCCCGTCAATCAAGCCAGCCTGCCCTAGACCCATCAGAAGTGCAGCCATTTCTGGAAGCGGCACCTGGGTCGCCAGAAGCCCCAGGGGGAACGCAAAAAAGGCAAAACAGCTATCCGAGCCAAACCAGACAGGCCACCTATCGTCGAGACTCCAGTGCCACTTCTATCCGAAGGGCAGACACTCGACCAAGGCAATCCTCCGTCTACGCTAACAAGGGCGACTACTACCCAGTCAGTCCGATCCTTCCAGACCGCATTGACGACGGTCCGCAGCTCCAGCCTTCAACATCTCGAAGAAACAGTTACTCCATCCCACATTCAGCCTCAATACCCGAGGATTGGCCTCAGGACGAACCGCGTGCGCAGTACTCCCGTCGCGTCTCGTCAGGGCCCCCTCGCCGCCAATCGCAATCTCAAGGAGGTATCTACTCCCAAAGAGATGCTGCAGTCAGTTCCAGAGCACCCACGTTCCAAACTAAGCTGGAGACTGAGGACGAGACTTCTCGAGCGAGTCAAGACCCCTATGAAGAAGACTTTCAGGAACCTGTCCGGAGAGACGTACGCAGGGCAACTGGCATGGGAAGCCCAATCGCAAAAGCGGAAGCAACGCCCAAAGAAGGAGCTCAGTCGCCTGAGACACGACAAAAGTTTTCTCCAGTTCCCCAGAAAGAAGGCCCGTCAGACGAAGGAGAGTCAGATCATTCGCCGAGCCGGTTTCCGGAACTGTCTGGTGCTCAAGTGCCAAGGGGACAAGAGCAAGAACAAGAGCCAACAGCACGAACCGAAGAACAAAGGCGGACTGAAGTGGTTATGGAAGAAGATCCTGCGCCTGCCGACGCCAAGGTTGCACATGATGAAGACATACCCACCCGCCGTCGCATCGATAGCTCAAGCGGGCCCTTCGAAGATGACAATGCCTGGATCAACAGCACGGTCGACCTCTCGCGCTCAAAGACCATCCCAAGATCATCCACCGGAGATGAAGGTGATCGAAGACTTTCAGGTGCAAACCCAGAAGAAGCGCAAATCGCGCGAGCAAACACTCGTCGTGCAACCTCAGGACGAGTGCCTGAATCCGCAACAGCCTCACAATCTGCACGAAAAGACTCAACAACCGCCACGCGAAGGCTATCGTCGTCAGTCAAGAGGACGAACACGCGGCGGAAGTCATCAGCAGTCGGAGAAGACAGAGCAGCGCCAATCCTCACAGAACTACCAACGGTCTCCAGAGCACCGACACGATCGGCGACGATCCCCTCAATATCTCGACAAGCCAGTATCCGGCGAGGGTCTGCCGCTCCTAGAAGGGGTACAGCAGTCTCCCCAGAAGCTTTGCCAGACATTCAAGCCAGATCAACAAAGGAAGGCAGCACAAGATCAACCCCGCGGCAAGAGTCCAGAGGTGCGGCCTCGCCTGTCGCGGTACAACCAGGTCGACGGTCATCTACTGCAACTAGAACAGGTACGCCAATCTCCCGAGCGGCGTTACCAGAATTTGGAGCCTCAAGGAGAGGGGGAGACGGACCTATGTCGGCCACATCACAAGGCTCGCGTGGTACAATGTCGCCAGTCCCAGCTTACGACCGGGGAAATTCTCCTGCCGGAATACAACCATCGAAAGGTTCATTGGGTACAACCCAGCGCGCAGACCAGATCTCAGAACAACAAACCCAGTCAAGCCCACGAACAGAACCAAGCGATGCTAAGCCAGCAATGCCGCGCCGAGTGACCTCATACGGAATGTATGAGTCCAGCTCTAGTGATCCGTATGCTTTACCCAAGAAGGCACCGCGGAAGGCAGCTGCCCTAGCCCCTTCAAATGCCAACGCAAGTCTGTCACTAGCGACGCAGCAGATTGATCCCAAACCTCCGGCGCTCACTCGCAGAGACTCACTAAAGCCACGGCGCAGTCCCACGTCAAGGATATCAGAACTTTTCGGGCGAGAGAAGGGCGCTAGCCCTGGGAATGGAAGCCAACAGAAGCAACAGCAACTACCCTCGCTGGGTGCCACGAAGACCGGCTTAGCGCCTGCATCAGCTGCAGCTGCAAAGGTCTCTGAGACGGATGCAGCAGTGAAGTCATCCCAAGCACAGCAGTTACAGCCAGTCAAGGTTCAGGCAAAAGCTGCGCAAGGAAGTGGGATTACGAATCCTCTTAGAGGGCGCTGGGGATGGGGATGGGGAAGATGACCGATTCAAAGTGTGGAAATGGGTGGTTAGTGGGATTATGAGGAGGATGTCGATGCCCTATGATAGGGTTTGGTGCGTGGGGAGAGACAGCTCGAGAACCTAAGTATTGAATTTACTACCTCAACTCCCTAATCAGCTTCCAAGTGCCACTTCCCAGAAACAGGTGATATCACAACATCCCGTCCAAGTTGCGACTAATGGTTCAGCTTCGCTCCTACAACGAACATGTCATGTTCTTCGCACCAAGTTGAAAGGCCTGTATACCTGCGTTGTAAAGGGTCCGATTCCAAGGCCCGAGTTCCGTCTTGACCACGTCATTTACATCTTGACATGGCTTTAGTTCCGCGCTAACCCGCACTAAGAAGCTCACTAACCGCATTATCCGGAGTATGAAGGTCGCAAAGGAGAAGAAGCATCGCCCATGGAAAGTCTAAGTTGTCGCTGGACCGAGACGTCTGCGTCATACGTGGCAGTCGTCATGGGAAGCACCAGTACATACAGTACAGACCTGGGCTTGATTCAGCAACAGGTCGCACGATCAATCGCTCCATCTCTTCAAGGACGTATCCGCAGCCAACTAAGTTATCACTTCCGTCCCCGCATCACCCTCTCTCTCTGTTGGTCTAAACAATTGCAATCATGTTCAAAACACCACTATACATATTCATCGCCTTCTTCAGCGTTCTAGCCGCGGCGCAAGAAGTCCCCCCAGGTGTCACGAGCCTCGGTGGCATCAATCCCACAGTCTACTCTTCAGCTGCAACCATTGTATCTGCGTCTTCGCCATCTGATGCATCGGCTCAAGCGACTAGCACGGGTGCGGCGAATGCTCACGGTACGTGACCCTGGCTTCTGGTCTTTGTCGTGGTTTAGGGATTGCGGGAGGCGATACTATTAGGTAGATCAGAAAGCTGACCTATTGCAGAAGTAAAATATGCTGCTTTGTTCGGTGTAGGAGGTGCGGCGTTGAATGCGTTCATGTAGAATTATGGTTGGACATGATAGGAATCGGGTGTTGGAGGTAGGTGTCGCACCGTCCGCACCAACAACGCCACAGCGTACTCTACAATCTACGTAGAGCAGAAAACGAATGTCACATTACAAGAATTTCATCGAAAGAAAAGAAAAAGCTTACTTTACCCCATCTCTCCAATTCTCAAATACCCGAGCCCGCAGCCCACAAGAAAAGCAACGTCCCAGCCTCCCACGCGCACCAGCTTCCGCGGACCGACCCCTAGAACGTCATCACTTCCAAGCTCGCATCATTACCCCGATCTACAACCGCGCCACCATCCACGTTCCTCGACACGCCCTTAGCTCCAAAGACACTCCCAAGCCACTGAACAGCCCTGCATCAAAGCATGTGCCTTCGTACTCGTACCTCTATGGTTCCTCCCAACCCACTGCCGTGACATCTTGCTGCGATGAGATCGTCGTCCAAGAGCGATTGTACTCTTGGAAGGGTGATTGTGGCTTTTGTTCTTGACGATTTGGGACGAGAGGCTGAGGCCATGCAGATGGGTTGTGCTGTTTGAGTGGTTTGATGGGTGGAACAGGGCGTCATGGACATGGTTTCTGGACTGTATTTGGAGGGGATAGGGATAGGATGGGATGAGATGGGTGATGCAATAGTATGGATTTGGATGGATGTAGAAGATTCGTACAAGTTCGGTTAACTCCTCAACCGCCAATATATCTACCACCATATCGAGACATGACAACTGAGCTCAAAACACTTCCACTGACTGTGAATACCAACGCATTTGCGAATTCCTTCTCAGGTTCAGGAACGCTGCTATCGACATTGAGTTGTGAAAGTTCACTTGCCATTTCTCTTTCCACTTCCACCTGGATAGCCAACGTGACAAATTTCGCGGCTTCGTCGTTGGGAAGGGAATAAGTCTTCCGAACTTCTTCCACTGTGTTCACAAGGTAGTGCACCTTTCTCTCTACGTAGGCTCTTTTCTCTTTATCGAAAGAACCAAGGTCATTTGAAATCGATACATGGTCCGCAAATAGCCTGAGAAATTTGGCAATTCTGGGGCTGGAAATGTCGACAGTTGAACAAAGAGAGAACTTCGTGCACGCTATGACGTAACTGGAACTTATAATTAGTTTCCTTCGTAATGTGTAGACTATTGATCCGTACTTACGGGACAGCTGCGTCGATTATCCTATAGTCCAGAAATTCTCTCAGACTGTGGAATTCGGTGGGGGGCGGGGGGTGATTGATGAAATCCATCAATCTTGCAACTACCTCGGCTCCTCCGTCACCGATGATGCCATCTTGATCATGAAGGCCTTGGATAGTAGCATGCATGGCCTTCTGCAAGATCGAGACTGGTTCATCGTCTCCGTAAGGCATTTGAGCCTTTAGTCGTGATACGAATTCGTTCTGAAATGTTTGGATCTGCCATTCAGCTGTTAAATATATGGAGCCTCAACAGTTTGGAATGACTCACTGTACTTTCGTCACTCATCTCCCATACATCTGTACCAGAAGTGATTAGAGTAGTAATATTTCTTGTAAGATTCCGCTTACCATCAAAGATGAAGATGTAGACAATAGTCTCAGCGATGAGTTTCAGTCGCTCCTCGCTTGCAGCCGGCCACAGATAAGCACAGAACCGAGTCCAGTTATCATGTAACATCGGCAGCTCCTTAGCGGCTATCTCAGAGTACGATTTGCCTCCATTCTTCAATATACTTGTCGCAGTTTGGTCGGAAGCAAAATGCTGTAGCAGCACTCGTGTTGCTTCTACAGCCATTGGCCAGTGTATGTTCTGTCTTACATGGTGAATCGAAGAATACCATGGAAGTTTTGCATGTACAGGAAAGACAGGAATGCTGTTCATGCTAAGTCTTTCACACTCCTTGATCAAGTATCCAGTTTCAATCTGAACTGCGTTGATGACTGGCTCAACACTGATAGTCTCAGCCTTCAGATCAGGGAAGCAGGACAAGTCGACAAAAGGTGGCAAGGACGCTTCATTTGTTGGCATGTAGTCGTGACTGTATCTGACTGGCCAGACAAAACCATTGTGGTCTTTGGAGTTGAACAACCCTAATGGAAGATTAGTTTCATCTAAAGTATACGACACGTAGAGCTAACCAAGGTCAATGTCTTGCTTCGCTTCCATCATGACGATCCGTTCAAGAGTAGAGAAGGGAGTAGAGTTCAGGCCGTTGTCTTTGTGCGAATACAGACAATAAATACCTTCATATACGCCTCTTAACCAAGCGCCATTGTTGTAAAGCAGGGGTACTTCTTACGTCCACGTCAGCAGCATAGTCGTGTTCAATCACCTTTGCAATCTTTCCTTAAACGTCCACAGCAAAAAAGAAGCTATTCCGTTTCTTTTCATTGCCGCATATAATCATCAAAAGCCTATTGGTTACTGGCGATCCTTAGATAAAGGCGGCGAGCGTCATCAGAATCTCTTGGGCTTCCCACTCCATCCACCACAATGTAGAAATCAGAACTCCCAGCATGCTTTCAGGTAATAATGGAATCTCGGGACTGAATAACCCAACAGTCCATCGAGCTTCTCTGAAAAGAGATCATCGTTTTGTACATGTTCTTCTAGCGATGTTGTAATGTTGAGTTGTGGGGGTGTTGAGTTTTGTGGGTATTAATTACAAGGGCACAATTAGTTCTATGAATCATGTATTATGGCACATCACTCACAGAGGTACGATAAAAGACGCTATCCTGAGAGCGACCCTGAGGCGGCAATATGAGACCCACGCCTGCATCTGGCCGTGCGTTGAACAGGCATCGTCGGAGGGTTGTCGCGCTGCACTGTTGTGATGTGGAGCCCTTGACAGCTCAGCGCGGTACGGGCGGAGCGTGTGGGTCGAACGACAAATAGCCAACGATACCTAGGTAGCCAGCGACGACAGCTATCAACAGGCCACCCCCAACGCTGCATACAGCTCCCATCGCCGACATGCCACCGCCTGCTTTCTCAGCCTACAATCTGCCTTGCGATGCACCTCACGTGCGATGGTGCTTGACGTTGCGTACACCACCTCGCGCCATTTAGTCACCCACCCAGAATAACACACATGCGAAGGACTCGGCATATGACCAAAAAGAGGGCAATTTGTGGACCTGCATCAACGCATGTGGTCTGTGTACCCGCACCTTCTACGGTTCCTCTCAGCCCACTACCGTGACATGTCGCTGCGATGAGATTATCGTCCAGGATTGATTGTACTCTTGGAGAGGAAGGTGATTGTGGCTTGTATTCCTGACGATTTGGGATAGGAGGCTGAGGCCATGTAGATGGGTTGTGCTGTTTGACTGTACGTGGAGGCGACGGGGAAAGAATGTGATAAGGTGAAGTCATGCAATATTATCGATTTGGATGCATGTAGAAGATTGCGTACATGTACATGTACAAGTGGGTGATGGCATGGTACTTTATCTTCAATTCCAACTCCAATCTCTCGCACTACGTACTCCGCCGCATACAAAGGCTGTTGTTTATTCCAAGGCCTGAACTGTCCAACATCGTCTTCTTCTACCCACCAAAT